GAAATGCTAATGAGTTCTGTAACGAATCTGTAAGGAGTTTACGAAAACTATTGGCCACCGGGATAAAGTTTCTAATATCTTTCATATGAATAAAATTTTAAAGTCTATTGACACTGTTTCGAGTCTGTGTTGAAAAACAATTGATTTTTTGTAGCGAGTCCCAAAGGAATCAAGGTTTTGCCGTGCCACCTCATAGGAACTTCTAATACACTTTATTTGAAAGTCTTGATACACTGCTTTGAGTCTCTGTTGAAAATCAAATGCTTCTTTCTACCGCCTTGTAATTGAGGTTTTGACGTGCCAACTCAATAGGTATATTCCGACGAGTCGGAATATACCTAATGAGATGGTTCATGAAAACCTCAATTGTAACGCGGTAGAAAAAAAAAAAAAACATTTGATTTTGAACAGAGACACACAGCAGTGTATCTAGACTTTCAAATGAAATGTTTTAGAAATTATACTCCTAGGATGGGTTTCTAGATAGAGAGCTCTAAGAGGGAAGACGGCAATAGGTTGCATGACATGTGGTCCGGATGTAACCGCTGTTTTGAGGGAAGGGGAAAGTTGGTGCAAGTGTCACTACTATGTATGCCTATATACGCATGCAGGGTTCAGAAAATGCCTGCATAAAACCGTGGGAAGGAGTACTAACTAGTTTATTAAAAATGCTAAATTCGAGTATATGGTAAACTGCCTTCGTGTCCATGAGGGACCTTGTACTGCCTTCGTGTCCACAGGAATACAGGTAACTTATAAAAAAATGAAAGCCGTTTACAACTCCCTGTAACGCCGATTTGGAGCGCAGCTCTTGAGGAGGAGGAGGGAAGGGTACTAAGGGGAGGGTGTACCCCTCCTCCCTCGTGATCCTGCCTGCTACTCCTCTCCTCATCCTAGTCCTCCACCTCCTCCTTCTCCTTCACCCCCTCCTCATTCTTCAACCTCCTCCCCTCGCCTCCTCCTCCTCTTTCCTCCCCCTCCTCGGGGGGTCACGTGGTTTCGGGGGAGGGGTCACGTGGCCTCGGGAGGGGTCACGTGCCCTCAAGGGGGGTCACGTGGCCTCGAGGGAGGGGTCACGTGGCGTCGGGGGAGGGGGGTCACGTGATTTGGGGGGGTCACGTGATTTGGGGGGGTCACGTAACCTCGGGGGGGGGGGGGGCTCGAACATTATGCATTATGGGATATTTTCCATAATGCACCGCGCGGTTACGCCGACGGCGACAGCGACGGCGACGCCGCTCAAACCGGAAACGGACGCCTAAGAGCTGCGCTCTAAAAGATGCACGGTTACATATTGATTTGCTTATCTAAACTTCAATGTCCGAGCAAGGTATACTGTTCACAGCGCAGCACTATACCTCAGCGCTGAATCAGTATTACAAACCGGGACATCAGTCCTTTGTATGAAAGGAGGCAACTCAGAACACACGATACAAGCCATGGAAGTAGCAGTGACTCGCTGCCTTAAAAGGAGGCTGAACCGAAATCTGGATTCCCCAAAACACGCGGCAGAAGCGTGCAACGGGATGCTACAAACACCAACACATCACTCATACAGCGATATCTCGAACGGATGACCCTATTTTTCAAAAAAAAGAGGCGCATTTGGCAGGAATGTTGACGCCATGTTTCTCCGAGAAGGAAAGGGAACGGCCTCGCGTCTTCTCCGCCTCGCGGCCCTGAGGGAGCGAAGCGAAGAGGGGAGGAAACTAGGTACCTTGACGGTCACGCGCCTCGTCGGCCTGGTTCAATCTCGACTTCTTTTTCCAAAAATACGGCCGTCCATTTGAGATATCGCCTTACTAGTAGTGTTGTACTGATTGCAGCGTCCCGCCTACATCTCCAGCATTGTTTTTTGAAATCCAAATTTCGGTTCACCATCCCTTTAACAGGGCTGAGTTAGCGCTACACTGTATGTGTGAACCAGCCTTAAATGCGGAAAGTCACATTTAAAATTCCAACATTTCTGCTCGCCTAGGCACTTGATTTACACACTACTTCGATAGTGTAATGAGTGGCACTAATAACATCGTCAGGGACACCATGGTGCAAAGGTATATTTTGCCCCCGAGTCTGTGAGAATTAATCTCTCACTGTTTTTGCCGCCACATTGCAGTCTTTCATTTTGGCGTTTGACAAGGTCTACCAAAGATAAGCGAGCAGATGTTGTCGCTTATGAAGTTTATCAAATTTGAACATAGAGAAGTTATGACTTATAAGCATCTCGAAGAATTAATATGGCAATTCGGGCCAATTGGTTCATGATCGTAGACAAGCGCCGCAAAAAAACACATGGACAATAAGTGGTGGTAAACACTGGCGCCAGTGTTTTATGTCCACTTCTTGTCCCTGTGTTTTTTTTTTGTGTTTGTTTATTATCTTGAAAAAGTATTTTTAATCACAACGGACAGGAAGGAAACGATAATAGAGTTTTATGTGGATCATAAAGCCATGCTCCGAATGGGTGTGTGTCAACTGCAGCTTTCACAATCGATGCAATACACCAAGTTTGAATTATTGGGAAGATCGATGCATCAGTGGCCGAATTTAAAAAGCAAACTTACGATAAAAAATTGCGCATGACAAAACACGAGAAGAAATCCGTATTAACGAAACATAATTGTCGCAACTTTTGTGTGACTTACAACAGAATATTACGACATCATCCAAAGTGTCTTACAAACTTCTTAGGGCAAACGTAGCCGCACGTCACTTGGCTATTTCACCACGACCAGTAATGAAGTAAGAAGCGTGGGCAAGAGGCATGTGTTTTGCACACCGTTCACATGCATCCCTACTTGAAGCAGCACAAGGACCAAGCTAAACCACTCACAGAGGATTCAGCAGACGAGTCTGCCGAGATGTCCATCCTGCCGGTTAGAGCTAACGAGGTGCAGGACTGCGATCAACGGTGAGACGCGCCAATGAATCAGCGAAAGAAAATGCCCACACAAATCTTCAGTGCACCCAACCTGATTTGGTGATAACTAGTGCCCCCTCGTAGTTCAGTTGTGATTTTCGAAGTGGTGGGCAGCTGTGCGACTCTACCACACGAAAAGGCACATTCCAGACTGGATGTGCCTTTTCGATGCGAGAGCATTATATGTCTATGGAGCCGAAGGTCCGGCGGCGTTAACCGAGTGGTACCAAACGCCAACAGAGGAATAGAAGGAAGAATAAAATGGTGCTTCCTCGGCTAAAATTCGAACCCGGTGCTGCTATGGGAGAGCCAGGCATGCTAGCTGCTGTGCTACCTCAGCCGCCTCAGAATGCGACATTACTCTCCCCTCAAAAAGAAGCTTGTCCCATTACGGCAAAAGACGGCGTCAGCGTTGGTGTGCCCGAGAGATGGTCATAAAAATGTCCTCGGTTCGATGACATCACGCGTCACGTGACGACATGACGTATCATGATGTGTGACGCCATATGATGTAACGTAAAAGAAATATTACAGGGGCACTTAGGTATCCCTACGTGGATTGAATGCGAAAGCATTGCCATTCCTAACAATAGAGAGAAAGAAAAAAAGAAAGTGTCGTTAGGAATAGCAATGCTTTCGCATTCAATCCACGTAAGGATACGCATACCTAAGTGCCCCTTTACTTTTTTTGTGTGGAGTAGAGCTCAAATAAACGCCGTACAGTGCGGTATATCCACGACGAAGTTGCGGCTAGTCGTGAGGCTTAATATTTTGCACCAACAATACCGTAGCGTTTTTCCTCGGCTGCGACGAAACGTCACTGCGCTCCGAACTTGCTAGAAACTTCTGTATATGCGACCGCTATCTTCTTAAAACCTATGGCGACTTGCCACTCACTTTTGGCCAAAGAACAGTGAAAACATCAGGTGTGAAAACAGCCATAACAATCATTAAAGAAATCAAGATGGGGGTCATAGCATTAGCTTCCCAACGTGGCCAGACTAGCACAGGATTTCTGTTACTCGCCGTTTATAAGACAGGAGTCGACTTTTTTCGGTCTGATTTTGAAAACAAAGTTTGGTCCGGTTGATTTTGTAGCAGAAGGCCCGTGCTTTCCCGTTCGTGGGGTCATTTTCTCGGGTCAAAATATGATGCAGGGTCCTTCCCATAAAAATGCATGGATGCCCGCTAGGACTCTTCGAAATGATTAAATTAACCGAGGTCGCGCTATATTCTGTTGCCACTCTAGAATGGCAGAAGCCCCCTCTCACAGAGCCCTTCACTCTTCTTAATAAGCAAACACTAGAGGGAAGGAGAGCCGAAAGGACACCGCCAATCATATGGCGAGCAAAGGGAATTGTGGGAGGGGCTTCTGCTCTTCTATACTTGCAACGGACTATAACAAAAGTTTACAGTACCATGAAAACAAAAAGACCAAGCGTACAGAGAAATTCGCAGGACTCAAGTGTAGCAGCTGGGACAGAATAGAAAAATACTGATTGAGTAATGATAAACCTCACTTGAATTTGTAATGAGTAAATTCAAAATAATAAATATTAGTTTTGTAATTATAAAACTCATTTAACGTTGAGTTTCATTTGACTCTATAAAAACACACTAGAACCTCAATTGAAACTCATTGTTCATTTTTATAAGGAAGTGCTTGCTCGAATACATCCGGTATACTACAGCCGTATACCACTATCCCCTGTCGGAAGTGAAAAAAAAAAAAAACGTTGTTATCATAAAATGTTGTCTCTTTCCGTCTGTGAACACCTGGAATAACACTGCATGTAGGAAACAGAACAGGTCTCACCGCGACAACGTATACCGAGGTAGGCATTTAATTGTACCCCTCGAGCAGAAACCGGCAGCCAACCGAGCCCCCAATACAAGAAGTGCATTTCGTGTGGCGCATGGGACGAAATATACCTCGCTTGTCAGTGGTGGGCGGCGAATGTTTGTAACGATAACATTATTCGCGCCTTATCAAAGCCCGTAGCCTCTCCTGTGCTCTCCAGCTAATCACCCCCCCCCCCCCCCCCCCCCGGTCTCCTCCATAACTACGTAAGCGAATGACCTCTTCGAGTGTGCATTCAAGTGCGAAGTTGAACAGACGACACAATCCCTGCGGCCAAATGGAGGTTCATAAGGTCAAGCACGCGACGTCGCAACCTCCAAAGGTAAGCAACACAGCACTCGTACGAGGCGGGCTACAGTTGAAGGCAGGGTCTTGTTTGTGTCGTTATGCCGAAAGGCGTCGTTCTGTAAACAATTGAAGCTGCGCTATGCGAGTTTTTTTGTGACCACGTGAACGAACATGTTGGCGACTTCAACATGGACTCCAAACTAGAACGAATAGCGAGCATCGATTTGGTTTCGTCCAGTTTCTCGCTTCTACCGTGTCTACTCGCGCTGCCTCAATATGAGCATCACTTATTCATCAAATTCGACAAATCTGGAACAAGTGAGGGCAGGCTGCCCTACCTTCCGTGTGATATTCTGCTATTCTTGAGGCGCAACTTCCACTCAAGCCAAAGCGGCGAAGCGGGCATGTTGGCTCATGATTTATAATATGAAATGCGATCACAACAGACAAGGACAAAAAGAAAGGCGAACAGCACAAGCGCTCGTCCTATTCGCCTACCTTTTTTGTCCTTGTCTGTTGTTAGCGCTTTTGATACAATACGTTCCACTCAAAACACATCGCACAACTCACAGCTCTTCTGACATAAGCCTAGCAAACCATTTCAAAACTTCCTTTTTTTTTTTTTTTTTGCCAAGTCCGGTGCATAATTGATGCTCGCTGTTTTGCAGTCGATGCTGAAATCGCCGACGTGCTCGTGCACCTGGTTACAAACATAACGCAGCTCGAAACATTCACAGAACGATGCCTTTGGCATAATGACCCAAGCTGCACACCATTGTTGGATAAACATCGGCCCACCCTACCCGATCCAACATTGGACCATTCTTTAATGCGGCCGCCCTATTGAAAAAATTTGCAAACTGGGCCAGTTCGAACAGGCTTATTGTCACTGGTTAAATTGGTTGAACTGGACGAACTGAAACTGTGCATACTGGTCTTACTGCAAAAATGTGTATGCTGGTAATACTCTACAACTGTGTATACTGGTCCACTCCATGCAGTTAAACCAGCTTAACTGGTCATACTGACGGTCGTAAACTAATAGAATCCACTTTATTTCCATAAAAAAATACCCATACTTCAGACCGCAATAAATAAACATAAAAACATATTTAGAGTTAAAAAAAAATTGTCATGATATTATTCATTAGACCCAGCCGGTCGGCGAGATTTTCCACATCTTCTGGAGTGTTGTGGTTCCTTTGGTGGATAACATAGTACCTCGAGACATCTGAAATAAGAATAAACATCAGAAATTAGAGCCATGGCAGATTTATTTGCACCCGTCTGTTGTAAAACGGTATGTAACCAATGCCACAAAAAAAAAAATATGCACCATCATGAACAGTATGAGAGAGAATATGGAAGCGTGCGCCAACCGACGAGACAAGCGACGACGATCCGCTTCGCTGTCGCTCGGTCACTCGCGCGACGAGACAAACCGCATGAAAGTGACGGCAGCAGGCGACCAAGGCGATGAGTGACGATCTTTAGAAATTCAAAAACCGAGCGACGCGACGACCGATTGCGGGAAATCTCCGTCGCTCGTCGCTGACTCTCGTCGCTGTCACCGTCGTTCGCTTAATCGCTTACATGCGGTTCAGCCTTTATCCAAAGCAACGCCCAGGAGTGAAAAGTCCTGCTGTTGTTACCCCCTTCCTGCCTCTCCAGTCTGTCGTCCGCTACGCAACTCGCAACCACTGGATCTCTAAAGCTGCATGCACACTGGCGGTTGTATTACTAGCATAGCTGTTCCAAATCGGGTTGCTGAAACGTTCAGTTTCACATGCACCTGGTTATGAAAATGAATCCAAATGGCTGTCTCCGCGCCGCAATGAGGACGAAGCGAATTCCGAACACGCCGTTCTGGGATGCAGCCATTTCGCCCGCGTCAGTACAAGGAGCGTATGCTCCTTGCACTGACGTCACATCGCATACTTTTGAACACCATGTGAAAGGAGGGGAGGGAATCTGCTTTTGTAAGAATTTTGAGTGACAGGTTAATCTATAATCTTCTGGGAATAGAACAGCGACGCGGAAGGCACAAAGGAGGAACTTGATAAGAGGGCAGCTTCTTCTTCCCCTTTTCTCTGGATGTCATCACAAATGACGTCATGTGCAAGCCACGTATTAGAACCTATTTTGTTACCTTGACATCTTCACTCCTTTACTTCGCGCGCACTTCTGCAGAGTATGCCCCCAGCTCGTTCCTCCGAAGTCAACACAACTCTCATAGTTGGAAGACGGCCCGCGCCAGTCGTTTGCAAAGCGACGTGGATGGAAACGAACCGCCGCGGCATTTCTCGCGGCCTCGGAGATGCAGGAGCGAGCCGACGTTAAAAAACTATGTCAGTAAGAGCCACGTAAATACCTGTGCACACTCGGAGCGGACGCGCGCGTTTGATCGAAGTGCTTCGGGACCGATCTTTTACGATTACCACTTCATACTATTGTGACACTCGGCAAAGAAAAGTGGGACCGGCATTGCGCAGCTCCCAGTGACATACAGTCGTGTCAGAATAAAAATGGCATATTAATAACAAAGTGCAGATACCGTGTTGCGGAGGTAATCCATACGGCGTTCATTTGAGCTCCAAGTCACATAAAACAAGGAGATAGAATCGATGAGAGTCCCTTTTCGACGACAGCGTTCGTCACGGCTGCCTCGGAAAACAAGGAGATGACAAGGGAAAGAGATTGACGTCTTTGTCTAAACTTAAGGTCAGCGATCAAACTATAACACGGGTAGGGTCCACAAAAGTCGCGCGGGCGCGTATTCCTTTCAGCAAGCCAGTCGGTCGTGGGCAGACGGTCTTGGCCAAGGACCGTCGAGGCCATAATAGAATTCAAAGACATCAAACTAAAACGTAGACTTTATATCTACACAGACTGCGAAGAAGCAGTGCAAGAATGCTGCAAACACTACAATCGCAGCAAGACCGTCAGAACAATCAAGACGACGGCCAAACAACTTCGAATCAAAGAATATGACATTAAAATTCGATGGATCCCTGGTCACCAAAGTATCCAAGGGAACGACGAGGCGCATGCAGCCGCACGGGAACAGCTACAGGCATCCCTGCCCGGCCGAGGCTCAACTCGCCCCGTCGACAGAAAGGACACAATAGAAGAAACCGATCCGGCTGAACTTAAAGCACAAGAACATGAAGAGAGAAGAAGACGACTCAACGAACAACTCCAACAAGACGAACACCCGCTCCCCTCGACGTCGTACAGCCGATGGGAGAGGGTGTGCCTGCGAAGACTCCGCACAGGAACGGCCATGACCCCAACCAGAATAAACAAGTTTAAAAGAAAAGACAACGAAGAAGACTTACAAGCCGGATTATGCGAAGAATGCCTTGTGCCCGCGGATACACAGCATATATTCTGGGATTGTCCAAGTAGTGCAGAAGAAAGAAAGAATGCTTTGGTGTCGCTCTCCCAGCCTGTCCAAGCTGCCTGCAAGAATGGATCCTCCCTGTCGGCTGCCCCGAACATCGGAAGGCAGTATTAGATTCCCTGATCGACTACGTAAAGTCGGCAGGGCTTGTACATTGTATATAACTCCCTTCACCTTCCTCCCCTTCCTCCTGTCACCAATGTCTAGTTTCAAGGGCGACAGGCATCCCCCACCCTCAGTTCCACAAATAAAACATTTTCTCAACTCAACTTTATCTAAAATTGAGGTCAGCACGGAAGGGTCTACAAAAGTCGCGCGGGCGCGCATTCCTTTCAGCAAGCCAGTCGGTCGTGGGCAGCCGGTCTTGGCCGAGTCGGAGTCGGAGTGCCCGCTAGGCCTAAATTCTGCCGAGCTCGCTCTGTCCGTGTCATCGTTGCCGTTGTAGCTTTTCCCGGGTGTTTGAGGATCCAGCGTTCGTGTTCGTCGTGGCCGGTTTCGAGTACTTCCTTCTTTTTTCTTGCTGCTTGAAATCGGGAGTCGGGACCCGCGAGAAGAGCACGTAGATGTTCGTTGGTCGTCGCGACCAAGTAACTGAGTGTCGACCATGTTGATTTGATCGTGGAAAGACGGCTCCGGAGCTGTTGTCGCACGTACATTCTTGGCGTAAGATCGTTTCGGGAATCTCGCCTATGTTCTTTAGCGCATGGCACTGCAACAATAACGCTGCAACCGCCGCCTCCCCCAACACTGGACACAATAACCCGCAACAGACTCTCTGCAAAACGTTAAAAAAACGTTTATATATTTTTGCTTGTTTTTACGTTTCCGGCAGTGCCGTCACGGACGTCACTGCCCTGTATTGACCTCCAAAAAAGGCGTCCCCTCTGCCTCGCCCTCGTGCACTTGCTCTGGAAACGGCTTCTCGGTGCAGGCCAGGGTGGATAAAGGCCGCGGTAAAAAGCGGGAAAATTATAAAGTTCAAGTGGGAACGATTGGCCGGCAGAGGGAAATGAACTTCTATGATACGGTTGCATCACTGAATTCTTGACCGGTCACGAACTATTGTTGCAAGCTACGTACAACTGTACATGCGTCAAAACAAAGCTATTATTTGGTCTACTAGTCTGTTATGCGACATCCGCATAGGGAAAATGTTCTGTGAAGGCCAGACATTTTCTCTGCTGTGGCAAGGTTCATTCTAGAAATACATATTTGCCTATAGAATTAATAAATCTTGTCCTGCCAATTTTTTATTTTATTTTTTATTGTCAGTTGTGTGGAGTGTAAAAGCCTAATTCGCTCATGTAGAAAACAATTCATTAATGCGGTTCTCCCGCTTGGGAGTTAAAATTAAAAACATTGAAACCAATTCGATCCAAATGGAAAAGGCCAATTGGATCGATTCCAATGGTTAATTATTTTAAACTGGGCATACTGCTAGCTTGACCAGTTCAACGAGCAGTTTTTTTAGTTCCGCTGGTATGACTTGTTTCGATACAGTGAGACCAGTTTCATTGCCAGTTGTAACTGTTTGACCGTCAGTTAAAACAGTTTGACTGCCAGCTCAAACTGATTGGCTGCCAGCTTCAACATTAAGACACCAGTGTCGCCAGTTTAAGCTACCAGTTTTGCCTGATTAGCTAGCAGTTTGAACTGTACAAACAATTAACAATTTAGCCAATCCAGCTTCCAGCTTAGCCCGTTCACTTTCCAAGTTCGGCCAGTTTCGACAGTTTGATTTCCAGTTTGCCCGGTACAATTTCAGTACAATCAGTTAATTTCGGGTTTGGCCAGTTCCTATCCAAACTGTTTTCAAATCGTTTTTTTTTTTAAATATCGGGACCACCATTCAACCAATATTTAAACCAACATTGGGCCATCATTCATGCCATCGTAGGACCGCCTTTTAACAAACATTTAAGCCAACGTTGGGCCCCAATTCGACCAATACCTAAGCCCTCATTGGACCACCATTGATTGTGGGTCTTACAACCAATATTGGCATCCAAGTTTAATCATTGGCTTATCCGATATTTGCTTCCAGCCTTATGCTCCGGGTATTTCACTTTCGGCATCCGGTTTGAACCGCGGGCTGTCCTATTTTCGGCAGCCATTTTAGCGGGCATGTTATCTGAACACTATAAATACCAAAATGAGTTGCTGGGCGAGTTGGATAGACATCTTGACTTAAACAGCGCAAATAAGTTACTTATTTAACTTGACTTAAACAGCGCAAATAACTTATTTGCGCTGTTTAAGTCAAGAACAGTATAAATACATCTGAAAAGAAAGCTGCAGTGGGCAAGATACGTTCACAGTGAAAACGTTTAGGTCATTATTACATGCAGCTAAATATAAAAGTATGCAATGCAAATTGTACCGTTGATACTCGTTATTGATAATTTCGATTGAACAAAAGTGGAAACAAAATGAGTGCCAGGATTCATCACTGCAAGCAGTAAACCGAGCTGGAATTTGATGGGATTCCAAGCACGGCGCTGGGCACAGGGTTCTTAAAGAGATAGCAGCGTGGGCCTGAATTCAGGTGAAGGGTTTCGGAAACCACATCTCTACCAGTTCCCACTATTGAGTTGGTCTATACACCCTTTTAGAATACCCCGAGCGCAGCCCGAGGCTACAATCCCACGGAAACAATTTAGCGACGCCCAAAGAGCATCGTCACGGCGTTCGTGGTCTTTTTGCGCTTATTATCATCTAACCCATCAAACATAAATAAAGGCGTAGGACTACTGCACTCTCGACTTTGTGCGACATACAGTGTAGGACATCTTTCACCTCATATTTAGAAAACGTGTTTCAATTTTCAGGGGGACAACGGAGTCACAACACCACCAAATTTGTTCAGAGAAGTGAATGACGTCATCATCTCGCGTTATTTTCCTGAAGAAAACCTCCGATCTGCCATCGCCTACAAGCCACGACCGGGAGAGCTCTTCGTCGCCAGCTATATGAAGTGCGGCACAACGTGGATGCAGACCATAGTCTACGGTATCCTCAACGACGGTACCCCTCCGCAAGATTCAATAGACTTCATGCTGAGATCTCCGTACATCGACCTCCTGGGTGCAGAAGCGGCGGACAAGATGCCCGGACCAGGCGCCATCAAGACGCACTTGCCTTTTGAGAAAGTACCGTACTCTCCAGATGCCAAATACATCTGCATTGCCAGGAACCCTTATGACTGTTGCGTGTCCTTTTATCATCACATGCTGAACGCCCCGTTCGAGCCTCCACAAGGCGGTGACTTTGACGCATTCCTCGACATGTTCATTCGAGGGGAGGTTCATTACGGATGCTACTTCCGTCACTTGCTTTCCTGGTACGAGCGCAAGAATGACGCCAACGTGATGTTTGTGACATTCGAAGAACTGAAGAGGGACACCCGCGGTGGGGTGTTGAAGGTCGCCGACTTTATTGGAGTAGAGTACGGAGAAAAACTGAGGAACAAGCCGGAGTTACTCGAAAGCGTGCTGAGGATGGCGGGCATCGAGGCGATGCGGAAGATCTTTGACGACGACATGCCGACTTTGGTGTCCAGGTTGTTCCTCCTTCCTCCTGGCAGGGGCTTGCAGTCCTTGGAAATATTCAAGGGCATGGCATGGACGGTGCCGCCTTCGCGAAAGAAGGGCGGCTTGATTCGAAAAGGCCTGGTTGGCGACTACAAGAATTACTTTTCCAGTGACCAACTGACCACAATGAAGGACTGGATAAGGACGAAGACAAAGAACAGTGACGTGATGTCGCTGTGGGAGAACGTCGAGCTTCCGTAATTCCGAGGGATTGTCTCGAGCGGCACACTTCAAAACTCGACCTCTTGGAAGACTCAGAAGACATCAGCTATTTCGCTAAAGGGCTATGCAGAAAGCAAGTCGTCTGCTTCCTTTGCAAAGGTTGTGGTGACGTCAAAACGCCGAGCTCCGATTGGTTCTTAATGAAGGATAGTGAGTAGACCTTTAAGGCAGCTTGCTTTGGGGACTACCCACTATCCTACTATAATAGCCAATCAGAGCACGGCGTCTTTCTGACGTCACCGCAATTCCTGCACAAGAAGCAGACGATTTGCTTTCCGCATACCCACTGCCAGCTGAAGCAAGGCGGAGTTTTACGAGTTCCGGGCATCTAATTATAGCTCCACAGCCACAGGGATTGCAGCATCAACCGATATGAGTGCCGAAGAACCAGTCACGTCGCGGAGGATGCGGTCGAGCTTCAGCAGGAAGGCAACGACATTGCCTTCCAATGGCTCCCAAACCACTGTGGCATTAGAGGCAATGAAGTCGTTGATTTTCTAGCGGTGCGGGCTCACAAGGAACCCGAGTGGCCGCTTTCAACCGTTCCCCGATTCTCAGACGCCAGGCTCCTTGTGAAAAGAGCCATCGCCCTAAACAGCACCCGGACCCGGTAGTGGTTGCGGGTGCCTTCCCAGCTCGGGTACGGCGCGGCTTCGACCGCCAAACTGCCGCAGTAATGCACAGATTACGGACCGGAAGCGCCTTCAATCCGGCGTGGATAAGTCGCTTCAGACTCAGTGTTGACCCCATATGCCAGACCTGCGAGGAAACGGCCGACGCCGAACATCTCCTCCTGCACTGTAGTGATCACGAAGAGGAGCCAACCAACCTCCGTGATGCCTTTTCCCGCTTAGGGCTACCTAGTACCAACTTGGAGAAACTTCTGCGTCCAAGAGCCTCACGAGCTACTACAGACAAGGCACTCAAAAGTCTAGTCAGCTTCCTGCAGGAGCGCGGAACTCCTCGAGATCCTCTAAGACTTCCAAGAGATCTGGGTTGCTTGCGGCTCCTGGGGCTTCTGGGGATCTTACATCCAGAGGTTTTCAGGAGTTCCAGGAGTCGCCATTTTGTACCGAAACCCGTAGGAAAGTCAACACTGAAAGAATCCCCCTCCCCTTCCCCCTCCCTTCTCTCTACTCCTGTATCTCTTTTTTCCCTTAATTCCCTTTCCCATCGACAGTGACATGTGCGCCCAGAGCGCAACTGAGAACAACGTCGATTTCCTAATAAACATGGCCTTAACAACAAGCAAGGAGAGTGAACATAATGAGCTACGCCTTGCGACGCTCACAGCCGTTAGTGGGCGCGTTAAGCGCCTGCTCCGGAGCGCGAGAGTTTGGCACGCCTTTCACTAAACGGACAGGAGTGCCACCGGAGGCTGACACTCGAGCGCGCTCTTCGTGCACCGAGAATTTCTCGGAGCGCGAATGACTTCTTCGCGCTCCGTGACGTCACGTAAACAAACAAGATGGCTGCGCTGCTGTTGAGACCGTCGAGACGAAAGGCGTAGCCAGACCGCTGCCCCTTTTCAGTTGATTAGCGCTTGATCCAGCAGGTAAAATCGATTTGATTTGAAAGCCAAGACCGCAATTAGCGTTCCAAGAAAGGTTTGCTCATGCATCTATCCTGAAAAAGAAATTTATCTATCAAACGGTAGCGTGCCGATAGCACAGCGACAGAAAAGTTATCGGGGTGAGACATTCGGACCGCTCTGTCCCTTTTATAATGCTTAGCCCAGCAAATAAACATACTTCGATTTGAAAGCCGAAACATCGGTGAGCGTCGAGGAAAAGGATTGTTCGTGCGTTTTGCCTAATAACGAATTGATCTATCGAACGAGCCTGCCGATAGCTCGGCGACAGAAAAGTTGTGATGAAAAGACAATCAGGCCGCTGCCCTGCTTAGAATGCTTAGCCCAGTTGCAGCGAATAAAGATACTTAGATTGGAAAGCCCAACCATCAGTTAGCGTTGCGGGAAAGGTTCGTTCATGCATACCACCTAGAAACGAATTTACGAACGACGGTGTGCCGGTATCGGCGTGGCTTCCGTCTCGCTGCGAGACGGAACCGACGGCACCAGGGAATCTACAAATTTGAGGGTTTCCTGCGTCGACGAGCTGGTTCAAGAATATCGCCTTTAATTTAAATCGGAACAGCATGCATGGTCAATAAATAGATCTTCCAAGGTAACCTTCCACATATGTGCACGAAGAGAGTCTTCAAACCTTTTTGAATATTAAAACGTTCGTAGAAACTTTATAACGTCGCCGTCTCTTTTGCTTTAGACTTTGCCGCTCCACACGGGCCTAATTATTTATCTTCGAAATATTTTCGGTTTCTGCCACCCGTATCCACGGTCGGAAGTTCCAAAACTTACTCAATCTAACTCTAGGGTAAAGGTGGTTATCGAAAAGCTACCCGCGTCCAGCGTTTCTCTATTTTTGTTGTCACGTGACATAATCCACCAGGGTAACTGGGATCCATTCGAGTAGGTTTGGAACGCAGCCTCGGTGTGTCGCGCTCCTGTACGCTATGCGTCGTTTAGTTGCTGCGCTCGGAGTATGAAACTCGGAGCGTCGGAGCAGGATTAAAGGAGCGCCGACTTGAAGCGCGCACTGACTACTATAGAGAGCTAAACCTGTTAGCGAAATGTTGGCTGGCACACTTTGAGCATGCCAGGGGTTCCTTTTCCGAATGTCTCTCCCAGATAATTATTGGAGAGACATACTGTACGATATAATCGTTGCATCCCGTAACGGTAAGCCTGCAGTGACATAAAAACAGGATGTCCCGCTGACGCACGGTCTTCGAAAAAGAAAAGAAAAATCAAGATTGATTACATTTTTTTTTTTTTACAGTTGCGACAACGAAGTTAATAAACTTATAAGAATGTAACACGCGCTCGGCACTTATGTAGGATGGCTTTTTTTTTTTTTATGTAATTGGAAACGAACAAGTTATTTCGATCTAAAATAAAGGGCTAAAAACGTAGCCAGAAGTGAGTTTAGGTTGAGTTATTTGTTTTAATAGGGCGTTTTAGAGTATCGCATGCTAAAGCTTTGCGTAAACAAAGAACAGAGTCGTCGCCACTGCGCATGCGCCAAACGCTAACCACGTTTAGGGCTTTGCGTGCGCTACTACGGGGTACGCTATATTTCGGAAATTGCGTACGCACGCGAAGAGACTTTGCGCTACTCCAAGGAAGATTCGTGATGAGAAGTTGACTAAAGCCAAGACGAGCGCAGTATAATTTTAACTCGTCAACTGTGATGGACATGCCCGATGTAGATCCCTTTTTGCGGGAGAGTTTTAGTATGCAGACTCTGCTAATGCTTTTATAAGGTGTCTTTTCTCGTATGTCTTTTAGCAAAAAGTGTTATCTTTAAGTTCATGCACTTTTCTTCTTTTGCATTTATATATCACGTTTTCATTTTCTTCATAATTTGCATGCGTTTTTGTGTGCCTGCTCTTTATGTAACACTGCATGTATGTGTAAGCGGTGCACATTTATGTAGGCCCCCGGGCTGTTTAGGGGCACCGGACAAGTACAAATAAATAAATAAATAAATATAAAAAATGGCGGCTCTCAGGACCATGGCTGCGGCCACTGTGGCGGCGTCGTGAGCGTGATGGCGGTGGCATCCTCGTGACTGCGATTTTCAATACGGGACGACATTGCACTCGGTTTGGAAAACCCAGTAAGGTGGGCAACGATCCCCGACAATTCGATGCTTGCGACGCGCGAACATTTCTCGGCGAAGGTACGGTGTGCGAAGGTCAGTGCACGGGACTCTTGCCTAGGCGACGGAAGCGGATACGACCGGTCGACAGCTGGCGTCGCATTCCCATGCTTAAACAAATCTAAGAGGTTACTCTGGACCAAAAAAACATGTTTTTCTCCTAAGTTACAACATTTAGTGCGTGAAATAAAAATAGTGACTATCTTCGTGGCGTTGCAAGCGTGAGATGCTTGGGCTTTTGCGTCGCGGCGGAAAAAAAAAAAAAAAACGCTATTCTAAAACTTTTTTGCATAGCGTGCGCTAACACAAGCGCTAAATTTAGCCCTGGCGTGCGCTAAAGTTGCGAGCGTTATTCTAAAGCCCCCAATATATTGAAGAAAAAGCCCACGATAAAGCGAGTTAACGAGAACTTTCTTGTGAAGTTAAAATGTTGACCAAGTGTCATTTTTTCGCGGCTTGTGTATGTGTATAAATCATTCCGTACAATTTAATGCGGCGTTTCAAACACAGGAGCATGGTGGTCATCGAGAGAGAAGTGTTATCTCTATAATGGGGAAGAAGCAAACCTATAGTAAGAAAATTCTGTTCGTCTTAAGATTGTGTCATTATTGTATTCAAAATTAAATTATGGTTATCTTATATGGGGCACTACTACCCATAATTACCTATAAAATATTTGTTTTAAAAAAAAGCTACTAAGAAGCATTTGTAATGCTCAAATTGAATATCCAATTAATAATTTGTTCGCTCAGCTTGGTGCAATAAAAAAACATTTATACAAATATTGTTTACCTGCAAAGTATATTATAGAAAATAATATATCCCAACGCTACCTCCAAAACTTAGCGAAATTAACACATACACAAAAAAACATATACGTATTTGACACGAACTAAGGAACTTTGGGAAGAACCTTTTTTCAAGAACCAACTACGGCAACAAAACTAAAGTTTATAATTTACTGACTACTCTTAATCAGCTGAGTTGGCAAGATATCGATTCCAAGAATATATCGTGAGCATCTTACGGGAATTGTTTACTTCCAAACCAAATCGCCTACAATAAAAGCTAACTGTTCTTTTTTTCGTGTGTGTGTGTGTGTTTGTTTATTTTTGAGCTCGAATGCATATTCACACTTGTGAGGGTTATGGGTTTCCAAAGGCATGGTAGCGCTTTTTAGACGAGAACAAACGAAAGAAAGACAAGACAGACACGAGCGCTGACTGCACCTATTTAATCAACATGGAAATGAGGCATATATACACTCTTCGATCCTAACAATCGCCAACCCCAGGCCTTGCCGCCACTCGCCATGAATTGCACCTTCTTATCGAAAAGGTCGATGGAAGCAACCCTGACACACCCCATGCACCCCTGTCCTTTTTATCTCGTCCGCTTCGATAATTTTCCTAACCGTTCTATTTTTATGTTTAGCTAGTACTGAGCATGAGTCAAACAACGCTTTACATCACCATGACTGCGGATGTAAACTGTTGTTTGACTCATGCTCAGTAATAAAAATAGAACGGTTAGGGAAATTATCGAAGCGGACGAGATAAAAACGGTAGGGGTGGGGTGTGTCAGGGTTGCTTCCATCGACCTTTTCGATAAGAAGGTGCAATTCATGGCGAGTGGCGGCAAGGCCTGGGGTTAGCGATTGTTAGGATCGAAGAGTGTATATGTGCCTCATTTCCAATGTTGATTAAATAGTTGCAGTCAGCGCTCGTGTCTGTCTTGTCTTTCTTTCTTTTGTCCTCGTCTAAAAAGCGCTACCATGCCTTTGGCAACCCAAGACCAATACCAACTAGCCCAGCATCAGCATTGTAAGGGTTAATTGCTTTATTGTACTATTGCTTAAGTATAGGATTATTTCTTTAGTTTAATAGATCACTTGTGTTTTGAATTGCTTATATTGTTACAATTGTACAAGCTCCTAGCATTTTGTTATCATTGTATAAACTCCTTCGGTGCCTGCATCATGACTCCTGGTTTGGGTGGGTAAAGGCCACTCAAGCTTTTTTCAGAGCTTTTTTCCCTGGCCAGCCTTCAACATTTCGCTTTGTTGAAAAATAAATGAATTATTATTATTAATATTATTATTATTAACCCTTCTCGTAAACCTTATTACGTTTCACCGGACCAGAATCACTATTAGTCGTCTTCACAGATGAGAGCAAACAGAGATCACCAGTTAAGTCAGGTAATTAGTTCAGAAAAAAACATTCAAAGAAAACTCCCGTAGAAGCCCAGTGTGAACGTATAGCGCACGAACCAGTCTATACTCTTATAAATGGTCTTCTGCTTCTAAATAGAATCATTACTTTTATATTATGGTTTGTTAATCATTTCGCGCATTTCTCCAAGACATATAGAGTCACACTCCAAGACTCAATTGAATAAAGAAAATAAAGGCGAACCCCAATTCACAAGACCTGAGCGCGGGCTGCAAATTAAAGTTCCCATTTGCAGGGTTCAACGTTACCTTTTAGTTGAGGCTCGCACCCTTCAGACGAGAGTGTACAAGGTCACCGGAATCGCGGGATTTTCGTCTTCCGTGCCTCAGAGAAACCAGTTAACGATTCCTGTATCACACCTAGCACACAGCGCCCTATTATGCCCTTTGTTTTGCGAGTAAAATTATTAATCAGTAGCAACCTCACGATCAATATATTATTACTTACCTCATGGTCAAGAAGAACAGGAATGCTATAAATTAAGTAATGGAGAAACACGCGAGTCTCATAGACCAACAGAATTAACCGCGCCGCGCAACTATGAAATAAAATGAGCGCCGACTCGCTCATTGGTCGGGCCCATGGCGCATGCGCTGATCGATCCACGCTAGCCCCGTGTTCCCGCCTTCCGATCAAAACGATCAGATGGGAGCTTGGGCTCAGAGCAGACCGAACTCCCCGCAACAAAGTCAACTCTCTTTGGTGTCGGGAAGCGGGGGCGCCGGAGAATGATTCCTTCATTTAAAATATTACCGTTCGTTTCTTTTGGGCAGACGTCCACTTTCTCTTTAATATTTTATTTGTGCGTAAAGATGACAGCGGTTTTGGAGGTCCTGGGTTGAATCATCGCCTGTAGTCGATATCTACTCACTTTGTTCGCTGGAAAGTAGGCGTGAAACTTTTTCGACGGTATCGCATCTCTGGCGAAGGCATGAAGCCGAAAAAGGCGCGCCGCTGGGATCTTTTGACAAAACACGAGCCTTAGGGCATGATCTCGATGGGACAGGTCGATGCCAGATCCCAGTACCAGATCCCCTTGAGACAGGTCCCTATGCCCATGCGACAGGTCCCTGAAGCTACGTGAGTACTGTCGGCCGCTAGTCCTCATGGCTGATAACCAGACGTACCATCACGGTACGCACGCCTCTAGTGGCCCCGAAAACGCGTCTTCGCCGAGTTTTCCGCTGCCCGACGACCTGACCTTCAACACCCTGTCCCTCGTTCAAGTCATCGTGTACTCGGTGCTCTTTGTCGCGGCCGCAGCTGGCAACGTGTCCGTGTTCTTCAGCCTCTTCGGCGAGAGACACCGCAAGTCCAGGATCAAGCTGATGATTCTGCATCTGGTTGTGGCCGACCTAATCGTCACCTTCGTCATGATTCCGCTGGAGATCATCTGGAGGCTCACCGTGCAGTGGACCGCGGGCAACGTCATGTGCAAGGTGATGCAGGTGCTCAGGGCGTTCGGACCCTACCTGTCTTCGATGGTGCTCGTGTGTATCAGCGTGGACCGCTACTTCGCCGTGCTGCATCCGTTCAAGGTGCACGATGCTCGCCGAAGGGGAAGGATGATGCTCGCCGCCGCCTGGTATACCAGCTTGGTGTGCAGCTCCCCACAGGTAGGGGTCGCCCTTGTGTGCACATTTCCAGCGCTTCACCTAGAGGCGCAAAACGCTGAGTCACTGAGCTGTAGACGCAGGCGCGGCATCATACATCCGCAGAAGAGAGCTTCCGCGTGTGCTCTGAGACCACGTAAGGCCACGTATTATGAGGTCAGTGTCACGTGATTCAGGGTGAAATGTCGGGTGTAACGGAACATCACGGTGTCCCCAATGTCGTTAGATCAAGTGTCGCTGGGTGTCAAGTCGTGTAAACGTGCCGTTGCACACGTGACCACGTCGCGTGACGTCAGGCCGTATGACGTCACGGTTTCATGTGACACTGTGTTACGTGACATGACTTCACTTGACGACATGACGCCACTTAACCAGGTAGCGTCGCGCCAAATTATGTGACACCACGACTTGACAATGTGGCGTCGTGTGATGTGAGGTGATGTAACGTGACACTGTGCCATGTGACGTGATTTTACGCCGTGACGTCACGTGATTATTCAGAGTGTGCAAATAAAACAAATCATCATGAAAACCCACCGTTCTTAATACAACACAATTCGGCAAATAACGGTATCAAAATACAGGATGTCACCCGCCACAAAATTTAGTGTTGTTTCCGCCGAAAAAAAATAAATATGCATCGCTTAACGCTCATTCTCGGCCCAAATGTAGTTCTATTGGTCCGAACCAGGTGCCAAAGTTTCAAAACTAACCGTTATCTCAATAAAAAGTTATAGGGGATTTTTTAGAAATTTTTAATGGGATTAATGGCAGCCGACAGAGCTCTAGAACACATGGAGCTCCACGGCGTCGGTTACCGAAAACGGACAAAAATGGGCGCCAGTTTCCTATAGAAATGTTCAGAAAATTATCTTTAAATTATGACTGAAATAACGGTTAGTTCAGAAAATTTGGCATCTAGTTTGAGCCGCCAGTGCAACATTTGGGCGTTCGGTGATGTATAGTTTATTTTTGCGGAGACAAAAAAAAATATATATATATATTACTTTTCGGCACACGCTCTACAGCTGCCAATTATTTCAGGGCTCCGTCACAGTGGCCTCCCAACAAAATGATGGCTACTACTCTGAAAAATCAGGTGCTAGGGACATGGTATTCTGGTTGCCAAACAGACCGTGTTGGTCTATGGTCTCTCCTACAAAGTTCAGCTTCGCTTTTATAGAAAACGGCGGTTACTAAATCTAAAAGTCGTAATACGATTACTTAAGATAACATAAAAAGTAACCAATAGAAGTAACTTAGCTTACAATTCATACCGTGGTAGAAGGTAGTTCTACAACCACAGCGCAAGCAACGACTCTGAAGTCACAGATCAAAACGGGAGGATCCCCCCCGATAGGTTACTGGCTGAAAAAATGTGTAAACTCATGTGTGTTTCAGCGCGTATGTTGTTTTTTTTTTCCACCATATGGTCTTGCTTGTGCATTTGTGCAGTCAAATTAGTTGGAGTGAATGTGTTTGCGGGCAACTCTTTATGTGTATTATAAACAAATGCATACATAAAAATGAGTTGTTCCAACTTTCTTTTGAACATTCATGGGTCGGTCGGTAAGTATATAGCTTCGATTCGTTTCGTTGTAGTCTTACATAGACTGATTTGTCTGGTTTTACATCCTTAAACCCTGGTTGAAGCTTTATAGAATAAACGAACGAAGTATTCAAAGGAACAGTTTGGGGGGTTGCAGTACCCAAGGCTTGTTCTGTGTTTGTTGTCTTTTTCCCGAAGAGTGCGGTTAGCAATGTTTACCAGGGAGCAGTTTTACCTTCAAAGACGCGTGTGTGTGTGTGTTCGTGCGACAACATGTGGATGTTTCTGCACGCGGTGCGGATTTAAAGATGTGTTCGTACGTGCGTGGAGATGTATATGAATGTTTTTATGCGTGTGTTGTTTTTACACGGGAATATGCGTGAGTCGATCTGTGTGAACGTGTTTGTACGTGTGTGTTTGATTTATTGTGTACGGGTGCACGTACCTTCGTGTGTAGGTGGGTGTGCGTGTGTGTATGACCCACCTTCTCGTCTCCCCAATCTCACAAATGAGGAACTAGACGGTTCATACTATAGGACAGGCGTTTTAATCCGGCTTCGATCTGTACGCAGCACGCCTCATACCCCTCCCGAGATCCCAAGAAGCCGACGCGTCACCCAAGTTAAACTTATGCGATGTGCCACATGACCATATAAGAACACGTGAGTTGCTATAAGAACTTACATAAGACATAATTTCTATAAGAAAGTTTCCTAGAAGTGGTCGCCAGGAGATGCGGTAGCATTTTGCGTCCCCGCTGACTTCCGGTCAAATCAAGGGACATACAAACCCCAACATAGCAGTGCTCCTCGCAAACGTCAATGTAATATTTTATCTGCTATTCTCCTGGTGCTTCGCTAAAGGATCAGATAGTGAGATATTCCTTGGAATTTGTTTTTAAAATACTATTGTAAGATGAACAAACGCGCACCCCTTTCATCTTGCATAGCACGGTACAGAAGGACGTTGCTAATCCTCCAACCTGCTCATTGCTGCAGCATTTACGTGCCTTAGCAATCGTGGCATAAGCAAAGCTCGAAAGGCCTGCCTAAAAAGGAGAGACCGGAAGTCCCTCGGGAGGCAAGGCGCGCCTTGTGTTTGTAAACACAAAAATGGTCCATTATATAGTTCCGTAATGTCTATTCGAAAATCAGATAGGGAAATGTTCGATGTTTCCAATGTCGTTACCCCCTCCGCACCCCAGGCCTTCATCTTCCGGGTGATGGAGCACCCGGCCATGCCGGGTTTCTACCAGTGCGTCACGTTCGCCTTCTTTCCGTCGCCGTGGCACGAGCGCGCCTACAACCTCTTCTGCCTGCTCGTGCTGTACGGAGTGCCGCTGGCCGCCATCATGCTCTGCTACGGCTGCATCCTGGCAGAGATTCGCCGAAGCTCCACCGAGTCCGCCGGTAAGAGTCCCGCGGTAGTGGCCACCTACACTCTCAAGAAAAAAGGGTGTAAAAGGGTGTATCGTTACACCCCTGTGTCCCATATAATGCACCCGAAAACTTCATTTCGACGTACACAGCCCTATAGTCGAACAGACGGCCCCAAATTTTACGAGGGGCATGATAACGGTGCGATATAACTTATTAATCCGCTAAAGTACGTATCAAAGACCACATAAAGAAAACACCGAGTTTTTACAGTAGGGCCAAGAAAACTCCGATTATTTTTTTTTGTAGTCATGTAACACATACATTAGGTATTTTAATAAGTTGTACCACACGGCTATCAAGTCCCTCGTAAAATTTGGGGCCGTTTGTTTGACTGTAGGGCGCTGTACGTTGAAATGAAATTTGGGGGTGTATTATATGGGACAAGGGGTGTAACGATACACCCCTTTTTTTTTTTTAGAGTGTACGCGACCAAGAGCGTAGCTGTGGTCGCCCTTCCACGATCCGCGAAACGCTTACTAGGAGGTCTTATCGAAATAAGAAGAGGAACATCAGACTGTCAACGTTGACCGTGTTGTTTACGTACCACCAAAATCGTCGCTGGCAATCGATAATCCTGGTTGTGATGACACGACAGATAGGAACTACAAAGGGGAGTCACCGAAGCATCTGGTCGCCGGTACCGGAATATGTAAAAACATTGAAAACATTTTTTTAAATATTATTTTTCCTAATGAGCGACGGAAGATACCGATGAAAAAAAATCTGTTTCTATACAGATTCACGAGCCCTCGGTGCTCCACAAGGCAAGCAACGGCAACACGAGAACAAAAAATAATAATATTAATTTTAAAAAAAGCACGCCCGTTTTACTGCATACAGGCGTTGTACGGATTTATACAGTGTTAAGACATGAAAGTTTTGTTTCCAGGGGTGACATCACTTAGAAGGCATGCAAGATGATTGAGTAGTCCAGGCAGTGGGCATGTAACTCTTTGGCGTCCAAAGTTAGTACGCGATCTAGGAACATGGCACGGGTGTATCTGACGAGTCTGATGAACCGAGTTTTGCAACTCAACCGGTCTCCGAAGGTTACTATAGTCATTTATTAAGGAACGCCGGGCTCGTTATCTTTACGTTTATGTGATCTGGATGTGTTTTTTGTGCGTTATCATCGGCTAATAGAGAGTTTTGTTAGATTGTTCTACATGACTCCGATAACGATGTTCGATCCTCCGCCGAAGCCTTCCCGTGTGTATCGTATCGGAACAATCTACTAAGACTCTCTAATGCCACAATCTTCATGGCCGGGTAGCGATAAAAATGTGCTAAGGACCGGTCACGGTCTGCGGTCAGTGACTACACACCAACTCGGGCCTCTGAAGTCACGCAACTAAGGTGGCGCTGCTGTCGGCACTGCGCATGCGCTTTATCGCGCGCGAGTCTGGTTTCTGCGCACATGCAGTACACCCACACCGGGTGTGGGCAAAGAGGGTAAGCAGCTTGTTGGTCCATATACACACTCTAATGCCCCAGTCCCACTATAAGGCGACAAACCAAACGAGTGCGACAGAAAGCCTCAAACCAGAGTCTTTCGCGATTTGACAGGTTTTGCAGAATACAGCAGGCTGTGTTGAAACAGGAGCATCATGGACGCGAGGGTATCTTTGGAGGGCTTACAATCCCTCGTGCTTACTTCGCGAGCACCGAACGAGTAAACGCCTGCCAAAGGTACAGTACCATCGCGAGCATGATGCACGTGTTGGAGGTTCGTCACTGTCCTTTGTGTCTGTTTGTCGCTCTAGTGGGACTCGGGCATGGGGAATCGTCTGCAACTCCCGCAAAACACTCGGGAGACCCAAGCGCTGCAATAGGGAGTATTCACTGGACGCCATATTTGTGGGTGCTCTTTAGAGCGCATGCTCAGAACGAGCTCACATCAATAGGCTGCTAAGACCGGCACTCTTCATGGTGCGGAAGGCACGTTGCAAACGAACTGTGGAAGCTCGCCATCAGCACGCGCTCAGCATTCGCGCACAGAGCTATAACCGCCAGTGAATACTCCCTATAGGGATCTCGTCGAATAGCGAAACCGATCCTATATGTTCAGACCTACCGAAGATGGCGTTTCACCATGCTCACTGACACAGCGCAAACAGCCGTTTCTCTTCATATATATATATATATATATATATATATATATATATATATATATATATATATATATGCCAATGTTGCTTGATGAACTTTTGAAAAGGTGCTATTCTCCACATGTTAGAAATTAGTAATGCTCCGCGAGGAGCCGGACTTTTTTTTTCTCCTACGGTTTTCAAAGTACACTCCCAAGTGCACACACATACATATATATATATATATATATATATATATATATATATATATATCTGTGTGTGTGTACTTGGGAGTTTACTTTGAAAACCGTAGGAGAAAAAAAAAGTCCGGCTCCTCGCGGAGCATTACTAATTTCTAACATGTGGAGAATAGCACCTTTTCAAAAGTTCATCAAGCAACATTGGCATGTGACGGCTTGAAGCTGAGCTTCTTGGTTGATCGCTATACGTACGTTGCCGTCTGCGAACAGTCAGCAGCCTGCACGACTCCCACGCCGCTGGCTGGGGTTCGATCCCCGCCAGCGCTTGTGCTTTTTATCTTTCTTCGTTTTGCATGACTGCGATGTTCTTGTTCAGCTTCAGCTTCAGAAATCTCGCGAGTTTACTTCTCGGGACACCTCCTCAGAATCCTTGTGCTGGGCAGCAGCGGGGCGCATCCACAGTCCCTCCCATGTATAGCGAGGTGCCCCGGCGGAGATGATTTGACAGATAGCGCATGTTCTCTGAGCCTTACGTTAATGCATCATCCGGACTGTCCCACATAAACCTTCCGCCAGGTGAACGGGATCTCATACACTACTCCACCGGAGTGCTGAATTATTAGAGGGCGCTTGTTAAGTAACGAAGGATTTTGTTAGAAATAAGTAAGATTTGTTTTGGAAAAGTCTATCTTTCTGCAGTTGCGTCGGCAGTGTTTTTTTTATCTGCCTATGTTTGTGTCTGCATTTTTTGGGCGTCTTCCGCCCCCACTCGCGGGCGGCTTCGAGCAGCCGCGGGGGTCGCTGGAGAAGAGTCGGACCCCGGTCGTTAAGAAACGTCTCGGGTTTCGAGAGGGGGTGCGGGGAGAACACGTGTGAAGAGCGGCTTGCGGCTTTTATCCGAATGTGCCTGTATATAGAGGGTTTTGCCGCTTAGTGTAAAATTGTCGCTTTTTGCCCGATGCAATAACTTAGCGGTTGGTGCCAGTCAGACTGGGAAATTTGCAGAGAACAACTCGACAAGGAATTTAGGTTTGGCGGTTTCAGCGTCAGGATGACAGCTCGCCGACCATTGGACGACAGTGTACCAAGTGGGAGTGGTGAAATTTGAAGTGATATATGTCCAAATTAAAACAAAATCGACGAACACACGTATGTTTCTTCCACATTTAAAATAAGCAAACATTTTAAATGCATCTCTGCAGAATATTTGAAATCGCCAGATCAAATTATACCTATCCTATTTCGAACAGAAAGAAGTGGTAAGACAGTATCTACTCTTTGACCCTTCGGTAGCTTTTGTCTGCCTGCATTTGCTAACTTGAGGCCTCACGCATGGACCGCTTGAAGCGTGAAATCTTTCACTTCCATTTTCTTGACCCGAAGTGCCAACAAGGAATGGAACATCTTCCCAATGACGCGCTCCGGCGATTGAAAACTAATGACTCTCACCCACCCGCTAAATATCTCCGCCGCCAAACAAAAAAAAAAAAATCTTTTTACTTGCATTGGTGCGACACCAAAACACCAACAAAGAATGGAACATCCTCCCAAGGACGCGCTGGGGCGATGTACAACCTATTACTCACTATCGCGATAACCCGCAAAATACCTTCGGCCCCCAAACAAAAAAAAAGAAGTAGAAAAAAAAAATCTGTTTCGAGAGGAACTCTTCCTCAAAATCCCCACTCTCAACCCGACGACCTTGAAGATGCAAGTAGTCCGGGGCGCAATAACACATAACGTAATTTCAAGAGCAAGTATTGCGGGCACACTCATAGATGGTGCCATCTGACAGCTGGATTTTTTGACGTTTTGATAGGCTACAAACTTAGTTAAATTTTATTACAATGAGAATTTCTGGAAAAAAGATCTTGTAAGAGATATATTCAAAAAGTCCTGGTATTGAATGTTGTGGTGCCTAAATTTATATTTAGGCCCCGGTTTATTTTTAAATGTTTATGAAGCCCGGAACGGAGAAAAAAAGGCTTTTTCAATCATCTTTAAAGGGACCATGAAATGACCTTTTTACATTTTCCAGATAACTTTTACATTAAACCGTCAATGTTCACTGAATGCCGAACAGGCATCCGTTTTCGTCTCGGTTTATTAACTTTTACACAAAAAATTATTGAAATATCGACTTTTTCATTCTCTCCAACTGACCGCAAAAGAAGCCGTGACGTAGACCGTTTCCGGAACCGGAAGTTCTCTCGGCAGTAGGAGAATGGGAGTGTTAGCGGCAACGAGTTGGGGTGCGCCAGTAGGTTTTACTGCGCTGATGTCACCGACGTATTTCCTGAATCGGCGCCTCTCATCGCCGCATCGCAGCTGAGCGAAATTCAATGAGATATGTTGCGCTACAGCGACAGCATGGGACTAGTCCCATACGCCGGTATGCCTGTTGGGAAGTGCAGCGAGTCTTGTCACCACCCCGTCATTGTTGGCAGAAGGGCCGGCCCGTGTCAGTCGTTTGCAAAGCGACGTAGATGGCGTTTTTCGCGGCCTCGGAGATGCAGGAGCGAGCCGACGTTAAAAAAGATACGTTTGAACTACGAGTGTCAGCAAGAGCCACGTAAATACCTGCTTACACTCGGAGCGGACGCGCGCGCTTGATGGAAGTCTTGTATTCGCGCTGTTGGTAAGCGCTTCGGGACCGTTCTTTTACGATTGCAACTCGATACTG